ACACACACACACACACACACACACACACACACACACACACACACACACACACACACACACACACACACGTTGGAGCATAACATATAGGCCCATGACATCACACATTTCAAATCTCTATGGGCCACTTGTATAGAGTAAATTATTCCTAAAATGAATAATATTACAGAGGCTCATCAAATTTCAGGACACAAAAATTGTGCACAAAATTGTAAAAATGATCTAGGCATCACTTAGCCAAACAACCTTTTACTTTAAGAACTGAACCCTATTTTACATGAAGAAGGCGTGTGAGGGGAAAACACACACACGCAGCTCTCACCTCAGTTTTTCCCTTAGCTACACAAGACCTCCTCTTCTCCTCCGGCACATCCCAAACAATCTGAAATGAGAGGAGAGAGAGAGACAGAAGTGGGTAAGGCATGGTCATTGCTCATCAAAAGGTGATTAGTAATCAGTGTTTAGACTCATCACAGCACTCGCACAAAGAGCCCTTTTTTCAGTGGTGGGCATCTCTTGAAGGAAGTAAATAAGATATATGATATCTAAAGGCCAAACCTGACCCCACATCTTTTGTTTATTTCCCTCTGATCCCCCATTAGTATTGAGAACCATTAAAGGACATTTATTTTCATTTCTTGCACAGAGTTGACCAGTAGGAAGCCAAAGCAAGGAGCAATTTAGCTTAGCATGGACTGGAGGATAGGAAGCGGAGGGAACAGCTTGAGTTTTTCCAAATGTAGAAAATAAGCCAGACCCTTTAAAGATGACTTATCAAGCTATTAAAGCCTAGCTTCATATTAAGCATACAGCATTGAGTGGTATTGATCTTCTCATCCAAATATTTGTATCTCCAGAAATGTTTAATGTACCTTTTCTCTGTTCCTGGTTGGTTTAATTCATTCGTCAGCCTAATATGAACCTATGTGATCCTCCAAATCAGTTCAACAATGTTGATAATATAATATGACAAATGTATTGACCCCTCACTAGCACACATGCTTCCTACCTTTCGGGGCACTTGGTTCAGGTTGTTGGTGTCCACAGATAGGATGGCATCCCTGGCCCCGAGGAACAGCACGCCTGATGAGCGGTCCAGCAGGAAAGTGCTGAAATTCCCCACATCCTGGAACTTATGCGGACCAAGTATGTTGTCTGTGGACCGAGAGAAAGAGAAGGGGTGAGATTTCCAGGATGAAGGAGAAGTCAATGCTGCCGTCAAACATCACAAAATAATGCACTTAGAGAGCTGGACAAAATAATGCACTTAGAGAGCTGGGGACGACAAGAGTTTTAGTAGTACTTTCTTTGGCCGTGCAAGAGTAAATGGTTGACGAGATTAATCACCACCATATTCCCAGAAAGAGGTTCAAAGAGATAAAGAGATGAGGGATGAGAGTAACCCTTGTTTCACCCTGGTCCCTCTCACAATCACTACAGATTAACTCCTCTAATCCCTCTCTGTATTTTTTTTTTTTTTTCTGTTTTTGAGGGTTTTCTGTGTCACATTCACAACAAACACCCACTCGACTCTGTTTCTTTCCGTTTTTTATCGATCAACTTTCCTCTAGGTTTCCATCCATCTGCCTTAATGTTTCACACTTATGTAGAATGAAATCCACTGCTGACGATAAATACAAAAAAGGCATAATATTGACTAAATAATAATAATCATCTTTTACATTAAACATGATGTGTAATCTCAGAAAAAAAATGTTTTAAATCTCAAAACTATCCCATTAATGCAATCACGAAAGCAAGAGCGAAACCTTCTCTATCATCCACTACAGTTCAAATCAATGTGTGTGTGTGTGTGTGTGTGTGTGTGTGTGTGTGTGTGTGTGTGTGTGTGTGTGTGTGTGTGTGTGTGTGTGTGTGTGTGTGTGTGTGTGTGTGTGTGTGTGTCTGTGTGTGAGAGAGAGGGGGTGTGTGTATGTGCGAGAGAGAGATAGAGTGTGTGTGTGTGTGTGTGTGTGTGTGTGTGTGTGTGTGTGTGTGTGTGTGTGTGTGTGGTTGTGTTTGTGTGTGTGTATAAAGGATTTAGCAGGTTTTTTTTAAGTCCCAGCCCTTTGTTGACCTTCATCAAAAAACACCAGAGATTTTCAGAAAAAGAACATAAAATTCAAAAAATGGATCTAGTTATTGCTTTCTGAGTTGTACTACTTCCCAGTCAAATACACATACACACACACACACACACCCCTAGCACACACTGTAAACTGACAGATGAGGTAATCGTGGATAGATGAATAACTAATGCTAATAAATGAGGCCTAATTTAACCTCAAAGGAAGAAACAGGAGCTATGGATTATAACACATTACTCACTACACTATTACTCAGTGTATTTGCACAATCCAACACTAAATGGGGCATGACTGATGACAGTAACAAGCCTACAATTAACACAAACAAAGGCAGACTCACAAATGAAATAAGATAAAGTGTTTATCATCAATTGCACAAATGTGGTGTATACTAAGGTGTGTTTCATGTCTAACAAAGTACAAATGAATCATTGTTAGTTATATTACAGTAGAATCAAATGGCATCAAAAACCCAGTCAAATGAACATCTCAAGCTACACTGATGGATCTATGGAACAGTTCAAACTATTGATTAAAATAATGTACGTTTGTTTTAGTTTATGCTTCTGAATTTATGATGCTGAAGTTCTTAGCTGACATGCTAACAACTTAGTTCTGAGAAATCACTAACAAAGCTTTTAACAGAATATGTTGTTGCTGTGTGTCACATCATATTTTGGTTAAGATATTTTAACCTTTGTCTCTTAAGCAGCCATATCATCCTCTATAAAACACACTTACACACTCTATTTCCATTAATGGTAGATAGGAAACAGATCTCTGATGGCCTTTTCTAACTCGCCTAATAATTCAGAGAAAAGGAGAGAACAAAAACACACCCTCTGTATTATTCTGCATGTAGAGATGATGAGGTGATGTAACACAATCATAGAGGAGAGTGCTCAACAGCAAACAGAAAGTGCATTAGTTTAAAATCCCTCATTCATCTTTAAAATACAGATAATAATTACTTTCCCAAATTACACGAAAGAGAAAATATTTTCAGGAAAGTCCTTCTAGTGAAATAACCCCCAATTTGGCAGCTGTCGACTAAAAGATGAAAACTAGTACAATCTGTCTCTCTACGGTGGCTGCCACTCAAAGTACCATGTCAGGATATTTTTGATAAATGGCACTCGTCGCTGACATGGTTTTCCACTTAGAGCCTGTCTGTGTTGTTCTGTGAGGAGAAAAAAAGATCCCAGCACTCTTGACATCTGCCTGTATCGAATCACAGACATGTCCTCTCCCCTGCCTCCATCAGTCTGCGTCTGCTGCCCGTAACATTTCACATGAATGTCATTTCTCATTCACTAAGGAGCCATCTGTTCGGATGAAAGCCTGCAGGCAGTCAAATAGCAAGCCGTAGCTCTGATTTGCTCGCTGAGGGCCTGCACTTCCTGAATATCAGCCAATGTGAGGAGGGGGATCGCAGTCTGTTAAAACAAATATGAGAGACAGAAGCAGACACACACATTTGTTTAAATGTTTCCTACAAAGCTTCTGGAAGTTTAGCTTGGTTGACCTTAATCAATGTTTCTGAATTGTCCCTTTTCACTTTCAGCTCCGAGCTAATAAAATAAACACTTCCCTTGTCAACCTGTCAATCAAATCTCTTCAAATAAAAAATCATCAGAGACTTGTAAGTTTTTCATAATTTCGTCCCTTTTGTCGCCTTTTCCTCTGCCTTCAGCCTGACATCGTCAAAAGACTTCTTCAATCTCACTCTACAGCCTGTCTCACTGCCGCTCTGACACACACATGCATCAACACACACACAGCAGAGAAGACATGAGCACTTGTGACACAGGCCAAAGGCAAGGTCTGCAGAGATGTCCTTGTGAACACGACGACACACACACACACACACACACACACACACACACACACACACGCACACACACACACACACACGCACACACACACACACACACACACACACACACACACACACACACACACACACACACACACACACACACACACACACACACACACACACATGCAGGCGGTGGCACCACCTGCTGTGCACCCTAATGCAGAGAAATGATTCCTAGAGCTATACCATCTGCCCTTCTCACACAGACAGACACCTATAACAGACACACACTAAAGAAGACCTGACGCATGCCTCGGGACGAAATATGTCATGCAATTTACATCCCCCATTTCTCTTTTGTCTTCATGATGACATACTGTACATAGCTGATTGTTACATGCACTTTATCAATACATTGGAATTGACATGTGTCACAGG